GGACTACGGTGCAAGGTCGTGCATGGAGGACAGCTGACAGATGCATTCCGAGTATGGACCGGAGTCAGACAAGGCTGTCTACTCTCTCCCTTCCTCTTTCTTCCGGTGGTCCATTGGACCTTGACATCTGAGGGAAGACACGGAATATAATGGACAGCTCAGAATCAATTAGACGATTTGGACTTCGCAGATGACCTAGCCCTCCTATCTCATACACATGAACAAATGCAGATAAAGACAGCCAGTGTAACAGCAGTTTCTGCATTAGTAGGCCTCAACATACACATACACAAGGGGAAAACCGAGGTCCTCAAATTCAACACGGAGAACAACAATCCAGTCACTCTTGATGGCAAAACTCTGGAAGATGTAGAACCCTTCACATACCTGGGAAGCATCATCGATGAACAAGGAGGTTCAGATGCAGACGTAAAGGCAAGGATTGGCACAGAAAGGGCCGCATTCCTACAATTGAAGAACATATAGAACTCAAAACAACTTTCAACCAATATCAAAGTCAGAATCATCAATACAAACGTCAAGGCAGTCAGTTCTACTGTACGGAGCTGAAACTTGGAGAACTACAACAACCATCATCAAGAAGATACAAGTATTTATAAATAGCTGTCTACGCAGGATACTCAACATCAGCAACAGCCTTCTCTGGGAGAGAACAAACCAGCTTCCAGATGATGAAGAAATTAGGAAAGGACGATGGAAATGGATAGGACATACACTACGCAAATCGTCAAACTGCATCACGAGGCAAGCCCTAACTTGGAATCCTGGAGGGAAGCGGAAAAGAGGAAGGCCAAGAACACATTACGTCGGGAAATAGAAGCAGATGTGAAAAAGATGAATAACAACTGGAAGGAGCTGGTAAGGATTGCCCAGGACGGGGTTGGATGGTGAATGCTGGTGAGCAGCCTATGCTCCTTCACGAGGAGTAACAGGCGTAAGGAAGTGATAACCATTTTATGTTCTAATTATTATTTATTTTATTAATGATGCGTTTTTTTCAGATTTGTGCTACAGTTACCGCTTTTCCTTCCTACATTTATAGTAATGAATGCGTTTTTCACTGCCTACATAACATTTTATTCATACTTCACTTTCAAGTATTTGTATTCATAAGGCATCTTCCCAGTTATATAGAACTTGTTAAGCAATCTGCATATTAAAACTATTTAAATATCACTGGTACTTTTGTATATGATTACAGACAAAATGAAGACCGAAATTGTTTCTTCACAACACTTATCCATGAATAAGTTATCTATAAGTGGCAATAATACTGTCTCTCTAAGATCTCTCAACTAGTGGGTAAGACATTTAGCCGTGCATCTTATCAGTGCTTTGGATTATAAGCATTTCAGCGAGGCTCTAACTACATAGGAAAAGTATTAAGGGTCTGTCTCCACAGGACAGAATTCCCGCAATTAATCTACACTTTGAAAGAAACCTTTATTACTGAATACCATACAAAAATATGTTCACATTCAGAAGTATCGTCGTCATCCATTCATTACTTACTTACTTACGCCTGTTGCTCCCAATGGAACATAGGCCGCCGACCACCATTCTCCAACCCACTCTGTCCTGGGCCTTCTTTTCTAGTTCCATACAATTCTTGTTCATTTTTCTCATGTCTATCTCCATTTCTCGGCGTAATGTGTTCTTTGGTCTTCCACTTTTCCTTTGGCCTTGAGAATTCCATGTGAGGGCTTGTCTTGTGACGCAGTTGGGTGCTTTCCTCAATGTGTGTCCTATCCACTTCCAGCGCTTCTTCCTGATTTCTTCCTCCACTGGGATCTGGTTCGTTCTCTCCCACAGTACGTTGTTGCTAATAATGTCCGGCCAATGGATCTGAAGTATTTTGCGTAGACAATTGTTAATAAACACCTGTATCTTCTGGATGATGGATTTCGTAGTTCTCCAGGTTTCTGCCCCATACAGTAGAACTGTCTTGACACTTGTATTGAAAATCCTGACCTTGGTGTTGGTTGACAGTTGCTTTGAGTTCCAGATGTTCCTCAGTTGTAAATATGCTGCTCTTGCTTTGCCGATCCGCGCCTTCACATCTGCATCAGATCCACCCTGTTCATCAATGATGCTGCCCAAATATGTAAAGGTTTTTACATCTTCCAAATCTTCTCCGTCAATTTCGATTGGATTGGTGCATTCTGTGTTGTATCGGAGAATCCTGCTTTTCCCTTTGTGTATATTGAGACCTACTGCTGCTGAGGCTGCTGCCACACTGTTTGTCTTCTCCTGCATCTGTTGTTGCGTTTGGGATAGAATGGCCAGATCGTCTGCGAAGTCTAGATCATCCAACTGCATCCTAGATGTCCATTGTATCCCGCGCTTCCCTTCAGATGTTGACGTCTTCATGATCCAGTCGATCACCAGGAGAAAGAGAAAGGGTGAGAGTAGGCAACCTTGCCTAACACTGGTCTTCACTTCGAACGACTTTGTCAACTGTCCTCCATGCACGATTTTACAGTGTAATCCATCATAGGAATTCTGTATGATAGTGACTATCTTCTGAGGCACGCCGTAGATGTTTCCAAACTTTTGTTCTGTCCACGCTATCAAATGCCTTTTCGTAGTCAATGAAACTGATGTAGAGTGATGAATTCCATTCAATTGATTGTTCCACAATGATCCGTAGAGTTGCGATTTGGTCTGTACACGATCTATCCTTACGGAATCCTGCCTGTTGGTCACGAAGTTGGGCGTCTACGCAGTCCTTCATCCTGTTTAACAATACCCTGTTAAAGGCTTTTCCCGGTATTGAGAGAAGAGTGATGCCCCTGTAGTTATCACACTTGCTGAGATAGCCTTTCTTCGGTATTTTGATCAGAAGTCCTTCTTTCCAGTCTGTTGGTACTTGTTCCTCATCCCAGATCTTATTGAAGAGAATGTGAAGTATCCTTGCAGTTGCCGCTACGTCTGCTTTTAGTGCCTTTGTTGGGATGTTGTCCGGTCCTGCTGCTTTGCCACTCTTGATTTGTCTGGTGTCCATGCTGATTTCTTCAATTGTTGGTGGGCCAACATTGATTGGGAGGTCCGTGGGTGCTGCTTCGATGTTGGGTGGGTTCAGTGAGGCTGGTCGATTCAAGAGTTCTTTGAAGTGCTCTACCCACCTGTTTAGTTGTTCTTCAATGTTGGTGATTACCTCGCCTTCCTTGCTTTTCACTGGTCGCTCCGGTTTGCGGCGATTTCCAGAGAGTTTCTTTGTCGTGTCATACAATTGTCTCATGTTTCCTTCTCTTGCAGCCTATTCCGCCGTCATCAAGAAGATACAAGTATTTATAAATAGCTGTCTACGCAGGATACTCAACATCAGCAACAGCCTTCTCTGGGAGAGAACAAACCAGCTTCCAGATGATGAAGAAATTAGGAAAGGACGATGGAAATGGATAGGACATACACTACGCAAATCGTCAAACTGCATCACGAGGCAAGCCCTAACTTGGAATCCTGGAGGGAAGCGGAAAAGAGGAAGGCCAAGAACACATTACGTCGGGAAATAGAAGCAGATGTGAAAAAGATGAATAACAACTGGAAGGAGCTGGTAAGGATTGCCCAGGACGGGGTTGGATGGTGAATGCTGGTGAGCAGCCTATGCTCCTTCACGAGGAGTTATAGGCCTAAATAAGTAATACTGGTACAAGGTGGCACCAGATACATGTGCGCCACACAAATCTAATTTGATTTGTGTGAGGGCTGTGATACTTCCTGGGTGGCCAAACCGAAGCAGGTGATTTCCTTAGGGGATCACACCCGGAGCCGTCGACCTAAACGTTTGATCCACAATGCGGTGGAGCATCGTAAGGAGATGTAGTCCCATGGTAGCCGGTGACAAGTTTATTAGCAGACATAATATGCAATGCTAAGTTAGCCATGATAGCATATGTAATTGTGGCAAAGTCATTTATGCAACGACGACGAATAATCATAAAAACGTCTTCTTCTTTCGAAATTATATATAGAATATCTGGTGCACCAGTCTCCTCATAATAATCTTCGCTTGTTGTCCTGAAGTCATTACGATCAATGGACAGATACACATTTTTTCCACATAATATTTAGTTTATGTCTACAGTTCGTACCGACAGCAAAATTTGGAATCGAAGAGTCAAACAACTGAGCACTGTCCATTGTCATACTAAGTTCAACCACATACAAAGAGACTAATTAGAGCGCCACAAAATGATGATCTCATTAAAGGAAATTATGTTCCTTAGATACTTTCACAAAAGGGAGTCTTATGTGATGATAATGTTAAAACGGTATAGGCACAAGTAAGCGCTGCTTACATTCGTATCATTGCTGTCTTACAAATTTTGACTAAGGAAAATTTGAGATTATGGGCTGCTCATTGACATGATCCATGCTTAAATACCCTTTTCTTCTAAATTGCAAACACCATATTTCCCACACCCACTAGCGCAAACACAGGTAGCTTCAACACAATCACCCAGATTGAGACTACATGAAATTAACTTGATCAGACCTATTTTGGTTTGAAAAAGGATATTCTGCTTTGCTCCCTTCGTACTATTCGAACTTGTGTCAATTTAACTCGTTTATTTATTTATTCATTCTGTGAAGTGGCATACACTAAGTCACGATACATCAGAAATTCAATCTTCTATTCACTGAGATTTCGCAAATATATCAATATTTCTGTTATTACAATCTACCTAATACTCAATATATTCAAAATTATCAAGCCAAAGGTTGACGATTAGACTTACAAGCTCTTCATGAAAACTAAATAGATGAATCAACACAAAAGTGATTTAGCGCATAATTAAGGCAACTAAGATTGTTATTAGTGTATTATTCGCATACTTTGTACTGCGCACATCATACATTATCTAAAAACTTCGACACAGTACGAAATAAGTAGTTAACCGAGAAATTTTAGAACTACAGACATATAAGAACTCACGAAAATGTACTTAGAATGAACTGAAAAATTATCAATCATATCAACCAAAATGTTTATTTGCAATCCGTTGGACTCGCTTTGAGAAGCTGGATGAGCTTATTGGCTTTTCACGTTTAAAAAATGGATTTAGTGCCAACTAAATCAAAATCGAAAGTTTAAACAATTATATTCTCACCTTGATGTAGGCTTCATATGTGTCTTGAAAAAAGTACTTTATACGATTCTCATTCGACTCATCATGAAGTAAAATGAATCGAAGTCCTGAACATTAATTTGAGTTACGGTAAATGACAAATAACTGGGGTAATCAATTTTTATTGATAAAAAATGACGAAAATTTGGAATACAAAGCTTATGCTTTCTTTGTGAAATCAAATGTCTTTTTTACTATTATGGAAACGACAAAAAGTTGTTTGATATAAAAGCTGCTTTGTTCTTTGAGGTTTGCAATGTTTAAATGACACTTGTAAAATATGTGAACGAAACAATACGCCACGTCTAAATAATGCGACAATATGTGGCTCTGAAGTCATACAACGTTAAGAATTGATGGTTTGACGAGTCTTTAGGCCGAAAATGATTATGTTATCTGTTTATTTCAGTGAGACATAATTACTACAACAGCTATCCGAATGATTGTTACCAACTGCTTTACTTTTGCTATTTTTGATTAAATCTAGTAGAGGTCCTGCGAACAGCCTACTTTATGGAGTAAGATAAGGTTACTTGATAATATCTCAATGATTTTCAAGGTAAATATGGTAGAACTGAGTTCAATTAGCTACGTTAAACTGATTTCCGATAAGTGATTGAACCCGTGAGGTATGGTTCCACATACCGTATTCTCATTTGATGAGCCAACAATAACTAGGTTGAGTAATGCCTGAGCGGTTAGAGGATTCAGTTTTTAAAAACTGGTGCAGATATTTAAACGCCGTTTTGACCCAAGCAATCATATAATATCACTAGCTTTCACACACGAAGTGCGACCTTAAGTCAAGAACAAGGACCCGTATTCAGCCCCCCCCCTGAGTCGATTTCTTGAAACTAGGTGGAATAAACAAAAGAAGCGAGAAAACATGTGATCAAAATCTTTGCTATGATTACCTCCAACATTTTGACTACACTCAAGAGAACTAATTCTCTGGTTTACTGAAACCCAGATCTCAAATAAACTGTCCTGAAGTCGACTGAGTGTTCTACAAGAAACTAGTCACTAACATATATGACTTTCAGCATAGTCAATTAGCTACTTTATACGTTGGAGTCGCAGACTGTTGACTGACATGGAAACAAAAAGAAGACTGGATGTAAGTAACATTAAACCATGGATTTCAAAAAATACTTTAACCCGAAAGGAACATCTGGGACTTTTCGGATGCGCCTAGTGATAAAAATTATTTTTTGGAAGACGAAATACCATCGTAAAGGCTATAGGTCAGTTCAGAGCAGATTACAATGCCGTATTTTAAAGTGCTATTGCCGGTCACGCGTTGTTGGTATCATACAATCGTCCAACACAATCAATACCCTAACAGCCCTGAATTCACCATGTTAAATTGAAGTCGTTTCGCTAAAAAAAAGTTTAAAGAAAACTTACGTATTCAAAGGGAAACAATTGTTAATCTCTTACTACTTTGATAACATGTTTCGGCAGGACCATAATTTATTAACGGATCAATCGAATTTAGGATAACAGGTCTTGGATTGTGGCGCGAAATTCATCTACTAGTTTGGCTAAATATTATTTCAGCATTGTAGCTAATGTAATTTTGTTATGAAAACTAAAGCTAATTCCTAACCCTAATAATCAACAGCAAATCATCATTCTGATTTCTCACACTGCTTTATAACCCTCATTTAGTCACAGTAGGTAAATGAACATTTTCAACGTGATTTTAGCGTTTTTCAAAAGTCGTCCATAAATTATAATTTCACCTAAATTCCAGGGAAACTGCATTTTATATACATATGGGTAATTAACAGCAGTGCATTACTTCATAATTCGTGGAAATTTAAATTGGTACTTGAATGAGGACCCTATTCCTTGCGATTCTCTTGGTGACATACGAGACTAAATAAGATAATATTCTGACAGCTATTCAGTACTATAATTGTGCAAACGTCCGACGCCGGACGTTTAAAAACTGTATTTGTAAAGGATACTTCCAGGGGTTATGAAGGCAGAAACCAGCCATTCATTGAATTTGTCTACGACTTTTAAATATGTGTCTGCTTTCGACCACAGGTGATCATCAACCATATCCAATGCAGCATGTGCAATAAACTGATTTAGATGAAGACATTCATCTGCCTACACTTAGCGGCGGTTTGCAAACAATCAGACTACCTTTTCTCCTGTTGATTTGCCTGGTGAATTATAATCTAAATCAAATAATGCCTCATCATGAGGCCCACAAATAACAAAATAATACCGCCCAACCATTTACTACAACGCAAAAATGGGTTTAAGCGCCAATAATTCAATTGTACAAGGCATGTTTGAAATTGTCCGGGAGGATTTATGTGCTATAGTAACCTTATATCCTCTCCAACTTAATCGAATGTCCATTCATTCATGATGTTTTTTCTGCAGTGATAGTTTGTCGACAGATACTAATGGGGAACAATTGTGATACTTCCACTTTTGGATAATCAGTTGGGTACTAATATACTGTTGGTTTATGTCTCCTAAACTTATTTAAGTTTTGCAATAACGCGTAATATAAGTTGCTCTCCTTTTGAAATGAAATCCGCGGATAGTATCATACTTCTCGCTGAATATATGCTGGGCTACTGCAAGGAAATGCACATGTGTACGGGCAGAGTGATGTCTCTGGACCATAGCCTAATCATCCAACAGTCGAGTCTCAGAATGTTGAACAGTTCATCGGTCTTCTTCAACGTCGGGGACGACTAATGCGTATCAGTTGGTTGCACGCCATGAACTGGACCATGCATCAGTGGTCTCAATCATTTACTTGTACCTACTCATACTAATATATTCTGTGATAACGTTATTTTTGTTGTGCGATCATAAACGCACTCACGGTACCTGGATACTACAGAAAAGCGATTTTAATCATGTAAAAACATAGAGGTGTAACTTTGATGAAAGCTAGGGAGTCATACCGTATTCATCCAAATCTATTCAACCGCCATCATCAACACTGATCACCGAGGTTAGTAGTCTACAGTCGCCATACGGATTTTTTCTGTCATCAAACAGGGTGAAAACGTCAAATGATCATTTCCAACGTCGAAACGTTTCTCGATATAAATAGGAAGTAATACGGTATTCTGACGGTAAGCAGTACTGAGACATCTAATTCATACTTCGTGTGAAATTCCAAGATCTTTGTGGAAAATGATTTGACTACTCCACAATGTTGCAGGCTGTGGCATGATTAGCACTGTGCAGCAACATTTACCACGGAAAGGTCAGAGATAATGAATACAGAAAATAACAGATCGGTATGTCATGGCTCACTATTACAGGTGTGGTCATTTTGTGTAACTCACCCCTATTCACATCCAATATACGATACGGTCTCTAGCATGAATGTGTTCTTGGGAAGCGCTAAACATCATATTGATGTCATCAGGTGAGACGAGTCAGTATAGATGATGGTTTGGCTTCCACGCAAGATGTTATAGATTAGGTAGCCGAATCATGATAAATATACATTTGTATGACCATATCATTCGTTTTTCCATGAAAAAAAGTTTGTTATGATCTACCACAGTTGGGGTAACTAGACTGCTTCAATTTGTACTCATCTGACGCTTGAAATTCCTGCTCAGCTTAGTCAAGTCTGTTGGTAGCAGGTTTAAAATAGCCATGCATTCAGGTCAGAAACGCTGAACATATGCCTACTAATGAACTCGTAGTACTTGTACATGTTGTATAAATGAGCTACAAGAGCTAGTTACAGAAAATATTTATAGAGATCTGGTAGGTTATCGATACAGTCCGCCATTCAGCACACGGCAAATATGATCGGGCGAATTACGATGATCATGATCCAGGTTTGTTAACTAGATTTAGTATTTGTGCTTAGTAATTTGGAATTACGATTAGAATACATCGTATAAGTTTTAGAGTTATGATAAAGATCTGAATACTATGATTTAAGGTTTAGTAACTAAAAATTGCTTTTAAATTTCCCTTAAGTTATAACGCTCAATCAAACACTAAAACCTAAGTCTTAACCATAACCAAAAACAAGCCCTTACCCCAAACTAAACATTTTAATTACGAATTAATTATCTTATGTCTTTTTTGGGTCGATATTTCCGTAATAGGGTTAACTTCATTCAGTCCCTCTGTAAGTTCACCCACGTCATCAGCCGTAGGCAACAATCACGCCCGAAATGAAGGCCGTGACCTTAAAACGACCTCGGCACTCACCACCGGCTCACCCTAAAAATACACTGGATAATCTTGTGCCACCTGGTGCTAACCGTTTAATCATTGCAATGCCAATCGTCTTATATCCAGTTAACTTTGTGACCCCTGAATAATACACTTTATTGTCATCATATTCATTTTCGGTCTTCTCGAACTTCAGAAGACTGGGCTACCAGAGTGCAGTGTATCTGTTTACCAACATCTAGTATATAGTATAGGACCCAATAGATGTAATGAGGTGGCCTCGTTATACCCCCTTAACTATTCACCAAATCAAGTTTACCTTGTCTTAGGTTTATTGGAAACGCTTCAGAAGATTCAGATCGGCTTTTCCGATCTACCATCACTATCCTAGTTGTTTGCTAAGTATGACATATCAAAAACGTGAACCAGGCTGACATCTTCCTATACTACATAACCCCGGAAGCTGCGATTTGCTTAACATCTCTTCAGAAGGCTAAAGTATGTTACATCCTAGAGACTCTGTTTAATTTTATCAACACAAGTGTTTTGTTTATTTGGTATACGACATCAGAGTTAACGTCATTATTTAAAATCTACTTGCTGTAACAGAAAAAATCATCTTCTAGAAGTAAACTGCTCAGTCAGCTTAATCCTTCTACGCCTTGTAGCAGATAACGGCATTGGATCAAATCTAGAACTTAGCGCACGATTCAACTCAATCACATCTTGTCTTCTTGACAGTAATGTTATTGTGTCTTAGTTAAGTACATCATAACTGTGGCTGGAAAATGACGATCCCAGTCAGCTAACTTACTGCAAATATTCAATGTGAAAACAATTTCTTTTAACTGCTTTTTGACATGTTTATAATAATAACAATAATAATTTATTCCGAAATAACAGTCTGTTATATGAGGCATGCCAGTTTACGGGCAAGATCTAATTGTTACAAAAGATACAGTCTTCACTGTGGTGGGTTACTCAGTTTGATGTTTCATAAGGTATGAGGGAAAAATATGGGGGAAAACACATCTCACATATGAATGTAAATGATTTTAATAAGATCCATACTGTCAATATGACATTTGGCGCGCTATATGGAGGTGGCGTTGCGAAGTGCAACTCAGTCCCTTATAAATTCACTTAAATTTGAGAATTATAAACCGTAACCTAATACTCCTATGGAACATCTCAGGCATTTTGATTGCTCAAGGCAAAGTCACATGTTCCAGATGTGTTATTAATGGCATATCATGAGAGCTGGAAAAGAGGATAAGAGAAATAGAGGACGAGAAGTAAATTAGACAATGTTCATGCCCACTGAAATTGTGTCATTTGCGGTAAAATAGTGAAAGTACGACCACTTAGTCTAACTTTCTATTATTAAAGTTTTTTTAAGCGCGAGCATTCTAGCAGGGCAAAGAAAGGTGTAAATTTGGTATGAATGGACAAAGAACTGTATAGGTGCAGTTGATTCAAAAGAAGCTGAGTGTATAAACTATGCCGAAGCTTTAAAATTGCGTTGTTACTGATTTATCAAATTAACTATCGATTTCCTCACGTTTTTAGAATGCCTGTTTTCTGATGGAGCATAAGTGAGTTCTGTCAACTTTTCTCTCAACGGCAACATACAAGATAGTCTGTATTGAGTCTGTTGTTAATTGTACAACATGGCTACATCACCTTTTAATAACCAAAATCCCTATCGTGCTGTTGTCATCTCCTGTAAAGCGCCAGCACGTTCTAACAATTATGAACACAAAATTATAACCATAACTGTACGCTTCGATGACTATACGATAGGTTGTTTCATGGAACCAGTCCAAGAACTGTCTTGAAACCACATGACAGTAGAAACTGATCCATCTATCGTCAAAGATTTCAACAGTCGTGAAAATTATTACATTATCTTATTTTTTTCACTTGTCTCAGACGATAAGAGCATTTGAATCTTTTTCTTAAATTCCATGTTTTAGCAGATCAAGTCAAGCTTAAGACAGCTGGATTATGATCCACTTCGTTACTAGCATTACTATGATAACAGACCTAACCTTAAAATTATAGATGTGTCATTATACGACTGCCTAATCCGTAAGATCTTAAGTAGAAGTGACATCATTGTTTACATTGGCTCATCGCATCTAAACAATTAACAACATGACATCTTGAGTTTCTAAAGAACTTATTTAAGTTTATAATGGTATAATATATTCATTGTGAGCCAGAACCAACTATACTGAATGGTCACGTCTGTGAGGCTGAGCCATGCCATCCGATTGGGATGAATATTCGCGCGTTCTCCACTATTAACCTTCTATTCGTTTCAATTGTTGAACATAAATCTTTTCAGTAGTTATATGCTCGGCTTCAAGGGTCCTGTGGGTGGGGTTCAATGCCACTACAACTGCACAAACTAATATAGCCTTTAGTGAAGATTCATATATATGTAAAGTTTACAGTGAAGTATTTACAGTTAAAATTAAAATACGTATGGCAAAAATTCGAATGAACATTTTCTTTGTCAAGTTTACGACAGAGTAGGTTGGTCTCACCTCGAAAATGCCCGAGACAAATATATGACATGCATTTGTAAGGCTTCTTCACAAAACGCATAGATGTACTGGTTTCGTAGAAGGTGAGAACATGTCTTCTGCTTCAAATTTCTAAACCACATTATATTATCGAGATTTGTCGTTTGCAGCTGTTTAAGTTTCTTTTACGAAGCCATATATATCACCTCACCTCAAAAATGAGATAATACATAAGTCTCAGTAATGTAAGCATGAAATTCGCCTATTTGAAAATGAGGAAAAAAGGAAGATAATAATGACAACAGAGTAATAATAATAAACCAGATTCTGTGTAACTGAGAAAAATAGTGAGTTGACTTCAAAGAAGAAAAGGGAGAAAATAAGGTAATAGAAATAAAGGAGAAGGAACGAATTGAGCGAAGAAATTTCTTTTCAATTAGTTTTTTATCATAGCTCTACACTAATATATATATGATTTACATTAATGATATAATACTCATCGAGTGGATACGTTACGTGATAATTACATAATGACATTTA